GGCTGGCGCGCTGGCGGTAGCTTAGCTTGTGAAGAGCCGCTGGCCACTCTCGGGGCAGTGCCTCCTGGGTCCACAGCGAGCACCTGCCGTTCTGATGGAGCAGTGCTGATATCTTCTCCCCCCTCCTTGTTCCCACCAGGCCTGTCTCACACCACCCCCCCTCCGGAGCACGAGCTGCCTGGCATGTTCGGCGCCGAGCCGCCCCGTTCTGCCCCAGAAGGTGGGTGAGGGAGGAAGGAAGGAGCCTGGGAGCCTTTGCTTTCAGTCGAGCCTGCACGGTGGAGCTCGGCACGGGTGGCCTCTGCCTGGCCTGCTGGGTGGGGATTCATACAGGTTTGGGAAGCAGGACCTGGCTTCTTGGTCCATTCGAGGTTCTGCAAGCTGCGGCCTTTCTCTCCAACTGCAGGCAGGGCAGCGTATCAGTCGGTGCAGGCTGACGCCCACAGCATAAGAGCTGTGAAATAAATCGGGGGATTGCTCCCAGTGCAGGAGAAGAGCAGTGAAGCAGTCTGTGGCAGTGTGGAGTAGAGGTTGGAGAGTTATTGAGCTTGAATCCTAGGTAGGGATCTAGGTGGTTTACCTTACCCAGCATGTGCAGGGAAAATCAGTTGAATGACTGTGAAGCAAGCTTGGTGTGTAACAAAAAAAAAATAATAGTAAATCTGACTGATAATTTTGTTTATAGTGAATGATAACATCTTTACATCCTATGTAATGTTTAATGCCAAGATGTATCACGGTGGTGTCTTAAGGAGTCTGGTATGGATTCATTCCTACTTTGGTAGGATAATGCAATTGCAGTTTGTTCAGATCAATGAGCAGAAGCATCATCAGCCGTGGGGCTCAAAGTCTCATTGCTGGTTGGCCTCCAGAGATGTCGTACATGTCTGTGGCTGCTCCCGCCTTTATTCCATCTTCCAGGAGACTTTGCCTGGAGCTGAATGCTCCTCTCCTCTCGAGCCGGGGTTAGCCTCGGCCTCCCGCACGCGATTGGCCAATCGTTCTCCCTCTTGCTGGTCAGGTGACTTCACCGGCTGGACCACCAGCACGGAGGTGCTGCCCTACGACACCAGCGGGATCCCGGAGGGCGCGGCCGTCTGCGCGCTACCCCAGTACAGGTGAGGGGGGGGGGGGTTCGGGGAGCATCTGTCCTGAGCTGCAGACTCCCTCACGCCTGCTGGCGCTCCTGGTGAGCTGAGCTCTTCGCTCGAATCCATCTTCAAGTAAACCAACACATCAGGTTGTTGCCTACAGAAAGGTTGGAGATTAAAGTGCTTTAAACAAAGTTGATCAACAGCCTCCTATGCGTTTTAAAACATTTAAAATTAAACTTTTTGTTGGGTCCATTAAGTGGATTGTTTCAGTTTTTTTTTTTTTTTAACTGAAGGCTCAGGTGGGACAGACCCCAGCAGGTGTGGGGGTCCCCAGGACAAGGATGAGGGGACCCCAGCTGTGAAGGGACTCATCACCCCCCTCCCCAGAGGGAGGCTGAATCGGAAAGATCTGATCCTTAATAGAAGGAGAAAGCGTCCCAGTCACCAGCAGGTCTGCTATGTTGTGCTGCATGAGTGCCGCTGCTCTGCAGTGCTCTCGACAGCCCCTTGCCAGTGTCAGCTGAGCCCTGTCCCCCTGCGCTGCTGAC